ATAGGATGAGGGTTTTATGGTGTTTTGCTTAAATGTTCTCACACACGTTGTGTACTTTTCACACAGTACAACACACATCATTTGTGATTTAAAAAATGAAACTTCTGAAATGTTAACATTTAAAATACTGCAGCGTTCAGTACTTCTGGTTTCTTAAAAGCTGCTCAGTAAGATCTAAGTATGGATCTAATCTGTCTCTTGCCTTGAGGATATTGTCAACATTCCTGTTAGTCACTGGTTTGCTTTATCTGTGGCTCACTGGCTTTTGTTTGAGACTGGTTTTGTAATTTGAGTGATTTTGTATTGCTAAAACTGTTTTATATTATTTCCTTATTTATAAAACCTTCCAATGGAGCTGTTGCAGGATCAGACTAAATCTGCCCTTATGAAACCATACATATAAAAGGCAGAATTACAGATTTATTGTCTTCAGAAACTGTGCTTTATGCACAATGATACTTGCAGAGGAGAAATATGCATTTAATGGGTCTAAGAAATATTATTTCACAGTAGCTTTGCATAATTGAGCATTGCTATTCTTTCATGCTATCGTTCTGTTCTCTGGTTTTTCTTTACTGTAGAGAAGTCTTTTGCTTATCTATGTGAAACTAGTTTTATTCGGAAACTGTGCTTTATGCACAATGATACTTGCTTCTCAAAGTGTTAAGTGACAACCTCCCATTCCGTGGCCTCTGCTGCCATTCATAAGCTGCCTGCTGCTCTCTGATATTGGCAGTAGATCCAACAGAACAAATTATGCATGCTCAGATTCTGGAGCCATACCTCATGTTACGCTGTGTATGCATACTTTACATGAAGTATCAGCATTCTTAGCACAGTTATCTCTATTCCTGGTTTTGGTTCACATCACTGTAGAACTAAACATAAAGCAGAACTGATGCAGGAGTTTGCTGTGAGGTCTTACAGACTAGTGGAAAAGGTAGTGAACCACCATATTTCAGTCTGCTCCCATTTTTCCCTAAACTTGCATTCACCTGACACAGGAAATCAAAGAACAAAACTCTAATTGCCTGTAGACCTTGTTCTTTTATAAAGTAAATTTTAAGAGCAGAGACCATTAATTCTACTTTACAAAGAAATGTTGACTAGCTTGCAGCAACTCATGCTACCAGCCAAGAGCAAAGCCACCCATGGAACCTAAATACACCAGCTGACTCTTTTCTCTGCAAAATGTTTTAAGAACCAGTTAAGCCACCTAAATGCCAAATTTGAGAAGCAAGTCCCCATTATGCAAGCTAATGATCTCATTAAAATCAATGCAAAGTTTTCTGTTTGCTTTATTTTATTCACTGAAATGTTGACTAGCTTGCAGAAACTCATGCTACCAGCCACAAGCAAAGCCACCCATGGAACCTAAATATACCAGCTGAGTCTTTTCTTTGCAAAATGTTTTAAGAACCAGTTAAGCCACCTAAATGCCAAATTTGAGAAGCAAGTCCCATTATGCAAGCTAATGATCTCATTAAAATCAATGCGAAGTTTTCTGTTTGCTTTATTTTATTCACTTTGCTGGACATGAGGAAGTTAAGTGGATAATTGCAGATTTGTTTCAGTGATATCTTACCTCCAAAAAACCAGCAGTGATCCTTTATATCAGACTTCTAATTAACTTGATTATTGAGGGCACAAGGACAGATCAAGTGCGATCTTATAAAAGTAGCATGTATTTTCTCAGGGGCTGGAGTAGGTGACCTTTCAAGGCAAAGCCTCTATTCTAAATAACCTAAAACCCGCAAGGGGCCTGCTGTTAGCAGAACTTTTTCAGGCCATCATGTAGCATTAGAAATAAATGCAATGATTCTCAGATTTCTTGCCAGAAATTTTGAATTTATAAGAATTATGAAAACTCAAGTGACATGTGTTTGCTCAGTATTTAGTTTGTGCTTTTCTAGCTGGACTCCCAGTGGCTTTAGTGTCCAGAAAGAATAGACAGATTACCTTTTAAGTTCATAATAAACTCAAATGCAGCCCACATGATATTGTGGAACACACTTTCTATTTCTGGCTTGGAGGAAGATGAATGTCATCATATGCATAAATGACAAATGCTTTCCAGGACTCACTTCACCTTTCCTCAGGAGGGAGTTAATGTAACATTTTAGTTCACTATTTATTGTCCATCATTGTGTATTGTTTATATGAATGAAGTAGCCAGAAGAAAATTGGATGATTCACCTCCGCGTTTCTTTGGCCAAAATTCTTTAATTAAATTGGAATTAAATTGCTGGATTTCCAGCAACTATAAAATGTAATTATGTGATTTAGACCCTTGTTCCATTGTGACTTTAATCCAACTCTAGGGCTGTGCTTTCAAGAAAAAAAAAAAAGGCCTTCTGCACCTCTTTCCTGCCATCAATAGGTACTTGTTTTAGTTTCATCTCTTGTACCAGCACTGTGGACACTACATTCTAAGCCACTAAAAGGAAGTGATCCAAGCTTGGAGTTAACCCATTTTTGTTAGGTTAGTTTCCTTCTTTCAGAGTTCTCTGATGCAGTTACACTGCTCATCGGTGTGAGGTCTGCATAAAGGCAGAGGCAGAAATAAGAAGCTGAGAAAAGCAAGAGATGGCTGGACCTCCCTTTCAGAGGTAGCTTGGAGCCGAGGCTTTTACATTTGTCATCTGAGACCAGACAGGCTTCTTAATGGTCAAGCATTTCTTAAGTGCTGTGTATGATCTTGCTGTGGATCCAAAGTGTAGGCCAGGTCACAATTCATTTGTGGTGCTCCGACCCCTGAGTAGCTTTAAGGTCTCTTTAAGTGGTCTGTGAAACCACTGTAATTTTTTTTGACACCCCTCTTCCCTGACACACAATTCCATGGAATTGGCAGGTGTAATTGGAATACTGCAGTCAGTAACTGTCTGTGGTCAGACAGATATTTGCAACTACTTTTGGTATAAAGGTTTTCAAAATTGGTGGTTTTTTTAGATTACATTAGTAAAAATTTTGTTTCATTAAAAAAGAAAAGGCAGACAATAGTGTTTGTTGTCAAAGACATGAGGTGACTCAGATTTAAAAAAATATAAAATTATGTGGACTTTCAGTGAAAAAGGTTTATGATCCGACCTCTTAATGTGTCTTCCAACAGCATTTTTGCATGGATTCTGGAAGGTAAAGGGTAACTTTTCTTTTTCATCTTTATTGCCATTTGCATATCAATTCCCTGTCAGCTTTCTAGTTAAGTAACTGTGTCTGCTGTGTTCTCAAGCCCGTCTAATTACGGGATGATTGCTGCTGAGGGCATTGCAGTTATTGGTGAGATTGCACCTGCCTTTCGGTAGTAAATGAAGCATCCTTAAGTGACTGTTTGACCGTAAGTGTTGAATGTGCTGGAATTAATGAAGACTTAAGCAGCTGGCTCCTATTTCACTTTGTGCAGTTCCAGACAATGTGACATCAGTGTCAGCAGCTCACAAGGTGCTTCCTATTGTGCCTTGTAACACTATTCTGCTACACAATACACTGAAGGAAGAGCTGCTTCTCCGGCCACTTTATACGGAGGAGAGCAAGCAAACTCAATAATTGATACCAGGCAGGACTGAGAGCGGGCCTGGATACCTGAGACAAGCTGTTCGAGTGCTTCAGCCAGCTGTGATGGTTTGCTTTTCCCCTCCTTGGAAGAAGCAGGCATTTAGCCAGAATGATTCTCAGCTTAGGGAAGAAATGCTTTTCCACGAGTTGACTGAAGAGCAGGACGCGGGGAGTCATACTATTTGTATGTACTTACCAAGTCTGATGGTGTTATCTTGTCAGTAGCTGATTTAAGAATATGTTCTATTTTATATATGTTTACATTAAAGGAGGAAAACTACTAAGAGCTGAATTCTTAGGCAAATGCCTCGCCACATCACACGGGCCTGGGAGAGAGGTGGATAATGAGGAAGAATGTTGTGGTTTGGTGGTTGTTCCCTATCAGTATCCCTACACACCCTCATCAGCCACCAGCTCTGAGACAAGAAGATGCCTTTTCTCGGAATTCATGACCTGAACAATGTTCTAAACTCATCATCCAATATTTCATTGCCACCAGTGTCCCTGGGTTTGGATGGAGGGTAGAAAGTGCCCTAAATATATATTAGATGTGGGGATATTTCTGTTAATGAAATGGGACTGATTATTATGGTTCCTCACAGCACCTGAAAATATAACTTGTTTAGTGACTGGCATAGAATGACATGAAGTGCAAAGTCTTTCACTGCTTCTATTATGGTTCTTTTGGGAAGTGTGTGAATTCTTGTAGCAAAATGCAGATGTTCATAAAGAGCGAATTAAACCAGTGTAAATGCAGTCCCACCACAGAGCATTCGGAATGCAAGGGAATGCTTGTAAGCTCTTCTTTCATGTTCAGCCAGCACTGCTTTGCATTCTAGTAAGTTACTTCAAATTCTGTGATACCACAGGGAAAGCAGAATAGTTTGTCTGCTGTTTGGAGTGGGGGTTGTCCTTTTATCCATGTTCCTAACATATGGGAGTTTGCAGCCTTTGCCAAAGTGACCCCAGTGCAAAGTAATTGCTAGTAAAGGGTTAATAACTAATAAATAAGTACATAACTTTTATTATTAAATCGCTTGCCTCTATTATAGGGATACTCTGAGTTAGAAGGTAGTTTTCTTCATCTATTTGTTATTTATAGCTTTCCAGATCCATTTATTGAATTTTTTTGGCCTTTATCTTATTTTTTTGATTTAATTTTGTTTAAAGAACAAAATGTTGTGGAGAAGTATTTGAGTAAGCTGGGTTTTCTTCCTCCTAAAGTTTCACATTAACAATATTTTTTTTCTTGATAGTCCTGTCCTTAGGATATTTCAGTTATTTTATAGCTTATATTGCTTTCTGAGTCAAAAGCAGATGGTACGCAATTGGCATTTTTAATGTTTTTCCACTAGATCTGAGTTTCCTTCCAAAAGGTTGAAAGAAGATTCTTTGCTGTTGCTTTCAATATTTTTATGCTACTGTAACACATTTTGTTTTTTTCACAGGATTGCACGTTCTTCACTCGGAAAGAAATCCTTCGGTAAGACTACTGTAACACATTATTTTTTTTTTTCACAGGATTGCACATTCTTCACTCGGAAAGAAATCCTTCGGTAAGTAAACTATTACGTTTTTCCTTCATGATTCCTATGGAAGGGACTAAATATCTTTTTTTTTCCTGACTTGTGAGGAAACCAAATAAATTCAGTTATTTTGCATGAATGAATGAATGTAGGATTGGACTCAAGATACAATTATAATATGTAAATGTGTATAGGGAAACAGATGGGAAATAGCTTGATGTCAATATCATAGGCTTTTCTAGGGATAAGCCATTGAACAGTTGAGAGCCAGTGACTTTTTATGAAGGGAATTTGCTGCTTTTCTGCTCAGTTATACCAATGAGGGCACATCCTTCAGTCAGTCAGTACAGGGTTTGGTATGGGCTTAAGTGTGGGGAAAACTGGTGGAACTTAAACTGCAGAGTGCTAAAACGCTGGTGGGTTTTGGTTTATTTTGGTCTTGGTTTTTGTTTGGTTTTCTGTTCCAACTTCCCTTATAGAAAAGTCACAAAGATTAGGATCACTACTAAGCAATAACAGAAGGTCTCACTGTTTGCAGTAAAAGAGACTTTGGTTTTGTTGGTAGTGATGGATTCAGTCAAAGTGAAGTATTGTCTTCCTTTGTCTATGCTGACTTCTTGCCCTGGATCCTGCCATGGATTCTTGACCTTCTAACCATTCAGACTAAAGATCTGTAAAACCATGATGCAGATCCTGTCCTGTCAATGCACCTGCTGCTGTTTTTCCTGAGGGTTTTTGCCCCCCTAGGGAGTGAGAATAAATCAGTGGTATGTATCTAGACCTAGAAGCTCATAATGCTTCAGGATTCTCAAATGTGAGTAGCTTCTCAGACATAAGAAGCCTTTGTTCTTATGAATATTGGGAAGTGCTCTGAGATCAAAAATAGACATGGTGTCTCAGAGAAATATTCTTTGCCTGTGCTCTGTTGCTGTAAAACTCAGTAAGGATGATGTTCAGTGACTGTGAGGGCAAAAACTAATGGCATGGCTTTGAGTTGCCTGCTTTATCTTTTGCTGGAAACATAAAGGTGGTATTTCAGCTAATTTCTTGCATACCTTGTTCTCATTTCTCACAGAGAAATGATGCACTTGCTCCTCAGCAGTGCAAAACGTCTCCGAGACCTTTGTGCAGTAAGACCATGCAATATCACCACCTGAGCCAGGGTTTAATTTGGTCCAGGTCCCCCTTACAGAACTGGTATGGTTTAAAATGATACATGATGGTGTGATGGAATAAGTCGGAAGGTGTGTGCAGTGAGTGGGTGGTAGCGGGCCCAAAGGTAAACTGACCTTAATGCAGGCTGGCTCCAACAGAGGTACTGGTGTCCTCAAAGTGAGTCAAGGCTTCACAAAAGTGAATTACCATAGCATGGATGTGACTTCTTTAGCAAAGCATCCCTCAGTTGCAAACCTCTAGGAATAACGATGCATAATCGTTAGCTATAAAGAGGTGTCATTCTGTGTTTGTGGTACTCTACAAAAAGTTGTGCAGCATAAATAAAAATGAGCGGTCATTGTATGTTCTGTCAGGGCTGCAACGCTGTTAGTTCTGCTTGAGAACACTGCCTTTGGCTATAACAGAATTTGTCGTCACAATTTGTTCAGAAAAGCAGCTGTGAGTCCAAAATAACTGAGATTTTATGGTTTAGACATCAGAAGTGATTCGGTGATATTCCTGTACCATTTTTAGTTCTAGTAGCTGGATAAGGAATAAAAAATCCTCCCTATGTAGCCACTAAATCTCAGATACATACATTTTATAGCAAGAAAAAAAAATCCCCAATGGTTTAGTGTAATTTACGGTATAAATCAGACCGTTAGCCACCTTCTAAATCTTGTAAAAAACAATAAATATTGTTCTTGTTTCATAGATCTACCTTTATACTCAACTTCTGAAATAAACTTGTTTGGAATGGATAAACTGAAAAAAATTGGTTTATATCTCTAAAATTCCCTTTAAACTCAAAATTATAAACAGTGAATTGCTTCTATTTGCACTGTGTTCCTATGAAGGAAATAACTATGAATTGAGGATTTTATATTTTACATAAGGTATCTCTTTGTTGCTTTGAATGCTCAGTTTAATCAGAGAAGTTATAAACAGTGAATTACTTCTATGTGCACTGTGTTCCTATGAAGGAAATAGCTATGAATTAAGGATTTTATATTTTACATAAGTTAAGGTTCTCTTTGTTGCTTTGAATGCTCAGTTTAATCAGAGAATTGGGACCCTTCCAGGGGAAGTGATTTGTAAACTATGATGCTAAGTCATCTTGCTCTTAGGAGTAATTTCTTTTTCTCCTCCGGTGTATTGGAATTAGCCTGAAAGAATAATTGATTTCCACTGCAAGAAAAAAAATGACTGATTTTGGTACTTGTACACCTAAAATACACCTAGAGAAAAAATTGTGGACAAATAGGAAACTTAAAACATGCAGTATAGGTTCAATTTAAAGAAAATGACATAAAATCTGACCAATTTTATAGGAAAATTGTAACATTGGTGGGGAGAGAAGGGGAGAATGGATTCAGAACTGTAAAATGCTGATGAAAGAAAGGAAATAAGGAATCAAACACCTTCACAGAAGTTGTAATTGGAAAACTGCTTAGCCTAAATAGGCCAACTTTTTTTTTTAATTCAGAAAACAATAGTTCCAAACTGTAAATTTGAACCATCATATGCAACTGAGAAAATAAGTGTAGTTTAAAAAATAAGCTGCAGATTTCAAGAAAAGATATTCTAAAGTAATGAAATTAGAAAATGTCATTGGATGGTAGGCGAACAGGAATTTACAGTATTGCAAAATCTGGCTATGAAATGAAGAGTCAGCAAGTTCTCTTCTCTTTTTCTGGGCTGCACTGGATAAAAAAAAATACTTGTAGAGAATGAATGTGCAATGTGCAGCTTTGACAAGCGGATAAAAACTGGCTGAAATGAGATATTTCTGTACAGAATGGTATCTCTGAGAGGTGTTATTGTCACCTGATAGACCTGGTCCTTTAAATAGAACAACTAAAGAACAGGGAAGTGTTGAATGTGGCAAATAGTTTTTAAGATAAAACAGCCCTGATAGACTTTTAGTAACTACTGTTTCTTTAAAAAGCACAGAAAAGTAAATAAAGAATTTTGTCTTAGTTTGCTTTTCTCTCTTCAGTAACATAAAAGGGCATGAGTGATGCTAATGATTTTTTGTAATAATTTTTTGTGAAATAGAAGCATAGCTTCTTCCAATAAGAAACATTTAATGGACCTCTGCTTAAGTACTGTGAAAGCCTAATAATACATTTTGTATTTTGTAACTGAAGTTGCAAGGAAACAATCTATTTCCCGAGAAGAGAACAAAGCATGCACTTAGACTCCATTACATTATTTATGCTTATGGGCTGAGTATGGGAGATAAGCGAGCCATTGCCTGTGTGACTCTGCACCCCATCTGTATCAAAAAAAGCAAACCAAGAAATTCTTATGAGAAACAGTGCAAGCTTAGGATATGATTGTGAAAAATAGATATTCTTGGGGTAAGAGATGAGGTTAATGGATGGTGAAAAATAGATGCTCTGTTTGAACAGTACAGTGTGCAAAGCTGAATATTAATGTAAGATGTTTGGAAGAATAAAATCATAGGAGTAGTTTTGTAAAGGCCTAAAATCTTGGGAGAAGGAATAGTCACTTGGCATCATTGTATTTCCTCTTCTGCCCTGTCCTCGCAGTGGGATGTTTCTGCTTATTGGGAACCTCTATACGCGATCAGTTTATGATGCGGCAGATAGTGATACAATCAATAGCATTTTGAACTATTGAATACAAATTACTGTCTAAGGAATGGAGTAGAATCAAGAGGTATTTTTGCCTGTCTGAAGTTTTTCTGGGTGGGAATAAAATGGGTTATGACCCCCTCGTTAATGGCAGATAGTGATACAATCAATAGCATTCATTTACTGTACATGAACTATTGAATACAAATTACTGTCTAAGGAATGGAGTAGAATCAAGAGGTATTTTTGCCTGTCTGAAGTTTTTCTGGGTGGGAATAAAATGGGTTATGACCCCCTCGTTAATTAGCACTTGGTGATTTAGCATGTCCCCACCTCAGTTAAGAGGGAAGCGAGTATTGTTGTGCACTGCAGAATGCTCTCGCGTGTGATGCAAAGGAAGCACAGGGCCACTGCTGTTTAGGCTGAACTGAATTTCTCATGCATCTGTGAAGTTCAAGGAGACAAGCTGGCAAGGAGTAACCTTATCAAATAATAAAAAAAAAAAAAGAGAGAATAGTTTTCTGGCTGAAGTCAGCCCCCCTGGCTGGCTCACCATCCAGCTGCACGAGTGTCAGCATGGGCACAAGGGAAAGGGGCACAGCTGTGTAGGTGGGGATGAAGGGATGAGCATGGCTGCTCCAATTTAAATCGATTTAAACTGATGTAAACCAGCATGAGACTGCAATTAGGTGAAATGGGCTAAGTGGTTTTATCTGTCCCTACAGGAAAAGTAGCCCATCAAAAAGCTCAAACAACAACAAATCTATTTTCTGCTGGTTTAATGAGCTGAATCAGCTCTCGGAGGGATCAGATGAGTGCTAAAGCTGGCACAAGAGCCAGAGCGAGCAAATGCAACTGAAAATGAGGAAAGGAGAGGAGAGAAGACCGAGCATTTCAGTACCAATAGGGTGTTAGATTGGTTAGATTTTGGTACCAGCATCAATTTAATTCAACACAAATGCAGGCTGCAGTCAAAGGGGTTGAGAACACATTCTGTTGATTGATAATCTGGGTGTGGAAGGCATTATGTTTGCAAATTATCAGGAAATAGTAGGATTTACAAATTTACTTTATTACAAAGAAAAATGAAAATAGGTCCAGGAAAAAAATAAAGTAAGTTAGACTACAGCAGAGGCAAGCATGCCTAGTGAAAGAGAAAAATAGAAACCACAGGTCATTACTGGTATTTGATAGCTATTTAT